AATAGAACATTTCCAGTTGTTAATACTATCTGTAACCTAGTTTTCTCATCTGCTTTATTTGTTGGAAAATAATTTTGTATGAAGGTAGCTGTATTTTTTATTTTCTTTGTAGTCAGTCTTTATAATGGTAGTATAATCATAAACCTGCATTTCCTAGATTTGACATTTATTCACAATTTGTACAGAAGTAACTGGAGTAGGGAAGACTGTCTGCCTTAACTTGCACTTGGCTATCTTTGAGCCCAAAGGACTGCTTCAGATGCTGAGCACAGTCCTGAACAATGCAGTAAGCATAGCACTGCAGCTCTGCTGACAGCCCTGGTGTTCCCTCTGTGTCTGAGGTTGCAAACAGCAGCCTACGTGCAGCCACACATCCCACTTCCACTCCCCTGCACGAACGCCTATGAAATCAGACCCGCTAGATTTAATACCAGTGGATACCAATAAAACCAGAGGAATGGGCCACCACATTCATCAGAAGGATGGAGCACCTCTCCTACAAGGAAAGGCTGAGAGAATTGGGATTGTTCAGCCTGGAGAAGAGAAGCTTTGGGGTGACCTAATTGCAGCCTTCCAGTGCCTGAAGGGAGCCTGCAAGGAAGATGGAGAGACACTATTGACAAAGGCCTGGAGTGAAAGGACAAGAGGGAATGGCTTCAAATGGACCGAGAGCAAGGTTAGACTGGATATTAGGAAGAAATTCTCAGCTGTGAGGGTGGGGAGGCCCTGGCACAGGTTGCCCAGAGAAGCTGTGGCTGCCCCATCCCTGCAAGTGTCCAAGGCCAGGTTGGAGGGGGCTTGGAGCAACCTGGGCTAGTGGAAGGTGTCCCTGTCCAGGGCAAGGGGGTGGAATGAGATGGTCTTTACGGTCCCTTCCAACCCAAACCATTCTATGATTCTATGACTTCTTTGCCAGGATATTCCTGCTTTGCGTACTAGAACTTGTGAGACCTTAGACTGTCCTAGATAAGGAAAAAAAAATCACAAAAAACCCATTCCACTTAGAAACTTAACATTGCTATTCTCTAGTACCAGATTTTCCTAGATATATTCCAGGGCTATCGGATATTGCATTTTTGCCATAGTAAGACAGTTTTGTGTATGTTCTGGTATTACAGCTGATTTGAAAGTGACACTGTTCATTATTGGTACATGACTACTTCCTACTTAAAATGCCTTTACGCTGAAATGATCAGACTTAATGGACCCTAAATCTTTTTGATCAGCCATCAAGCTCACTGGACATTAAATCTTGAAAACCCTCAGTAGTTTATTAATATTTCTCTAGTAAAGCAGCTTTTAGGCAAAGCACATCCCTAACAAGATGTATACTTAACACAGTAAAATAGTTAACTACACTAAGAGTGAAAAAGGCAAACAAATACAAGGAGAACATCGTGATTTTAGGTTCAAAATACCCTCTAGTAGGAAACAGGCACACTAGTGGGCCTTGTGATTCCATTGCTAAGACGGTAATCACAGATGAGCAATAAGGATTAAGTTAGAATGAAAAAGGGACACACAAGTTACAAGATGTCATTGGTTTTGTCTGTATATTCGGTGATGAACACAGGAAGGAGAGGGAGGGCAGGCTTGTATATTGTTGGGCCACATGTTTTAGCAACATCAGCAGACTGGCAGCAGGGTGAACTTATGGCCCAGCTGTGTCTGGGTACACCTCGAGTTCAATTCTGGGTTTGTCAACTGACATATTCCAGCATCCCACTGATTCAGTTGCTTCTAAACATCCTTTCAGTTCCAGTGACACACATCTCACAGGCATTAAGTACATGCTCACATACAAAATCAAATGGAGAAGTTGTCAGAAGCATGTACAGGTATGTGGGTATTTGCCAAACACAACCTGGCAAGAGAAGGATTATGGACAGGAGGAGGATTCTCCATGTTACATGCAAACACCATTCTTATATTTCTCAACCTGTGTCATCAGCTTTCTTCTGCTTAAACTCCTTACAAATTAAGAAAAAATGTTAAATTAACAAAAATAAAATATTTCCTAAAGGTTCAAAGGACTTTTTCCTGACTTTGCTATCTCGCGTGAATAAATGTGGTTTTTTTCAGGTAACAAGGTACTTAAAAACCTCAAAACAGAAGACCTCTGTATAATCATTAACTACAATTCTACACACTCCTCCCCCTTGAAGCCTACTAGAACACATTCAAACAACTTAGCGCATGCTACGTTTAATTACAGACCTAAAATGACTTTTGTTATCAGCATGGCTTGCTATGGAATTGAGATAAGGAGATTTCTGCGAGGCCAGCTGGCGGGTCAGCAGCGGTATTACGATTACAAATCCGAGTCCTTGGTTTCTGACCCGGGGCTGACTCCTGGGGCTGCAACTACAGCCCCTCCAGCGGTACTCGGGAAGGCTCTGGGCTCCGAGGAAGCTCAGCATTTACACGTCGTCGCGCTGTAAATACACTCAGGGAGCGGGAGATACCCCAAGCCGTATTTCCCAAGCGAACCGAAAGCCATCGATACCGCCTCGTTCCTCTCGGCCGTTCTGCCTTAAACCCCCTGCGTTTCCTTAAGCTTTCGCCCTCGGAGGACACACGCTACTTACCGGCTTAGGGCTGGTGCGGGCTGAGGCATCCCGGCC